AAATATCGAAAGAGATGAAACAGGAAGAATTTTTAAAAAGTCAAGATCAACGTCATTACATCGGCCTATTTCACTCCATGAGTGTTTTTTTTTCAGTTTTATTCAATTTCCACGGATGACGGAGAGGAACATCCTTCATTTTTGGATTTTCCAATCATAATGAAGTGTGATGTTTTTATAACAGTTAATGATATCATGGTCAAAGTCATGAATGAAACCGCTCCAGAGCTACGTCAATAGTTCCCGTAGTATCCGCGGTCAGCACTGCAAGCAGACACGCTAGCAGGTTAGAAAGTCCGCGAAGATCCAACAGATGTCAGAAGTGTCTAGCGAAACACACCCCAAAAATCGATGCTATGACCCAGCCGAAACCAATACAGCGTTTTTTAAACATTGATTAGAACGTTCACAAATATAAAACAGACGACAGTTGAACACATATCCAAGGCAAAATTCGCTAACTTTCTGATTAACGAACTGCCTCCTTTGAAACGCACATCAATGACAACAATCTTAGCCCCAGGAGATTTCCCTATCCGTTATTCAGAACAGATTGGGAAACGTCTGCAACATGCAGCGAATTAGCTCATTGCCGTAATCACACGAGCCCACCACTGATCCGTATCCTGGGCCGGACGAATCCAGTCCATACCACCCATAATATTTCTCTAAGATCCATTTTAATATTATCCTCCCACCTACGTCTAGGTATTCCAGTGGTCTCTTTCCTTCTGGCTTGCCCACCAAAATCCTGTATGCATTCCTCTTCTCTCTCATGTGAGCTACATGCCCTGCTCATCCCATCCTCGACTTAATTAGTCTGATTGCACTTGCAACTTTATTCAGCCTCCTAATAATTCATCCCTCTGAGGCACAAATATTCTCCTCAAACACCCTCAGTCTAATTTCCTCCCTTAGTGTCACGCCCATTTAGACTACAGGTAAAAATTTCGATCTTTGCGTGTTTAGACAGCAGGCGAAAATACAAAAGGTCCTGAACTAAATGGTAGCAAATACCCGAATTGAATCTGCTCTTAATTTCCTCATGAATCAATATTTTGATATGTTACTGTAGTTCCCAAATATCTTAACTTTGCCACATTTTAAGATTTTTCCAGATCAGCCTCTTCACTAGCATCAATTAGAGCTTCAGTGTTCTTCTTTGTGGTATTTATGTTATCCCCCAATAGATTTACACCATCAGCACAGCCCAGAAGCTGTTGTGTGCAATTTAATTTCAGTCCCACTTAGACCTTCCTACGGGCTCATTCTAATCCGATGACATTACAGAGCCACAACATCATCAGATCCCATCGGCATACGCGAATGTCTCACATCCGTTAAATCAGGCCTGTTCCACTGGGTTAATGTGGTCTTGCATCACGAAGTAAATTAAACACTTCACGAAAGGTTTTGAATTTTTGTTATGTTTATTTAAACATTAAGTATTTCTTTTTTGTTTACCGCATAAATCAATTTTTTTATGACACTTTTTGTAAATAATGCAAATACAAATAACCCTTGGGGAAAGGGGATCCTGTAAGGTAATTGACAAACAGACACCTTTTACTATTAATTCAGAACTTATTCTAGCCTTCCTTTAGAGACGTAAACAGTTTCCATACTCTATACACTGCAAGACAAGTTCCAATAACCTAACTTACACACAAAACGTTTGACACCTGTTGGATTAAATGCAAATTGACAATGCAGTAGATTCGGTACCCACGCAGGCCAATATAAAAACATCTTGACATCATCAGTTCATAGGACAGTTTAAATTAAACACACAATTAAAATCATAATTCTATGCAGTAACTGTTTACACTATCAAGCATTATTCAGGAATGGCAATTACTCACCAAGACTTCTGCATCGGAATCCGGCTCGGGGAAATAAACCATGGTTTGGCTTTCCCTTTCTTACACACTTCTTACGGTCTTGTCAAAAGTATTTTATAATTCACAACCAATCCTGCTTCACTTAACACCGTACAATTGCTGTCAGTGTATGAGTTCAAGAATGCAAAAGTTCACTTGCCTCGTTAGGCTGCTAGTTATCATGCTTTCCATAATTCTAATGTACACGTGCCGTTTCATGGCGAATTCTATATGTTTAGACACTAAACGCAACCAACTGAACACGAAAATTAAACTGTCTTTTACCACACTTCATACATCTTCCCGTCAAACTTGGTTCTTATTTTAAAATTACTTTAAACATCAAATCACGACAAATTAAGACATCCACAACTTAACTGCATGGCTTTCCATACACCCACTTCCATGAAACTCGCTATTATGACGTCAGACTATGACGGACGCGGGCATGGTGACACACGAGGTAAAGAGCAATCACGGATAAAACTTGGCAGACACAAGCCACCTCATGTTAAAATCTTTGCTTAAAATGGCGTAAGATTACCTACAACAAATTCCTACCGCTTCAGCCATTCCACAAAGAGTCAATCTCACAATCCGCACTAAAACATGGACTTGTTTTACCAAATCGTCGACAGACCCACTCAAAAATTAGTGCCTTGTTCATTACTGCGTCTCCAAATGCTATTTGCATCAGACGATAAGTTTCGATCGATTTCTGACAAAACTGAATGCACTCACGTTGTTCGATAAATCATGTGACAAAATCACTGACTTCGGACTGACTAAAATAATGGAATGCGTCACCACTCACTGCAATGTACAAGACCTCAGACAAGTGTCGATACTTTTCGATCAGGCCTCGTAAATACAAATCGAAAATTACATATAGATTTACAATATAGTGCTTATTTAGTTTGTTAATCTGAGGGGTGTCTTATGCATGGGTCATAGTTGCTTGAATACTGGGATCATGGATTCGACTCGCACTCATGCATTTCCTGTGTTTACCAGTTTTAGTATAGGCCTTACGTTATGCTGATCCCCCCCCCCCCCCCACCCAACAGGCCTACCAAATGTTGCAAAAATGTTTCAAAAGTATCTGAGAAAGTATGAGGCAAACAGAACTGTTTTAATTCTGCTTTAAGCTGATTTCTATTCATGGACAGGTATTTAATTTTGTGGGGGACCTTACCACCATTTTAATTTAATCTCATCATTATACCATGAACAAAAAACAAACCACCAGAATATAGTGTTCATCACCAGTAAAACTTATAAATGGATTAAGAGGTTAAAAATGTTTTGCATTCCTAAATAGCAAATGACAAAATGCTTGTACTACTTTAAACTGTACATAATTTATACGAGTATTTCACAATTTAAGACGGTAGTGAAATATGAAGTTACCGCCTCTGCATACTTGTATTCTAGATACTGATTATACATCGGTTTCTATTTTCCATATTCTAAGATCAAATTAAGTTAAAAAGATTACAATTTTATGAAACATCTGTTGGTAACCATATATCCCCATCTGAAAATAACATACACTGAACAGCACTTTTATTTACTATTTTTTGTTTTTGTACAAATAAAAAGGTACACTTTAAAACACTTTCAATGTCTCCAAGTAAGAAAAATACTCAAAATTTCTAAGGTACAAGAAAATTTCATAATTACTGGTACACGTAAATGAAGCTAAAGCTGTAGACAAGAAGGCAAACACAGACACAGTGTCAAACCTTAATAAAGTTACGCAGTTAACCTGTCACAGCACATTTCTCAGTGTAATGGATTTATGAAGATTAAAAGCTATATAGGAAAATGTAAGGGAGCCAATTTTTCCATAATTACAAGTTAAAAGTACATGTAATAAAACATACAGTGCAATTTTTCTTTCCTATTTTGTATACTTCGCAAATTCGATACATTTCAGAGGCATTAAAAAAAATTAAATTTGTGGCGTAACAGCTCCAGAGAGCCAATCCACATGTATTTCAAGGGTCACATTTACTTCTTGGTATTTCACTCACATATCTCCTTGCACCATTAATTATTTCAAATACTGTAACTCCTTTTGTACATGAATTGTGTGAAAAATGTACCTGCATTATTTGTCAGCCAGAAGATGAATCCCGCGCAGTAGCACCGTGCTGAAAGAACTGACTTTACATGAAGTCCATCTCTATGAGGACAGTAGGCAAGAAAGAATAAAGTTCCACTTCATGTTGAGTGTAAGCCATCATCCTTAAGGATGACAAGAAATGACATAGAATACACACAGGATTATCAAATGACCTAATTAACAAATTCAGCTTATTATATGTAAAATTAATTTGTGCTCACGACATTTCAACACAGTACACGGACGTTCCAAGGAAATTACCTTACAAATACCTTGGACAAAGTTCTCTTTTTAAAATAATTTGTTCACCTAAATCAATTACACTCTATAAATGAATAAAAGTTGTAACAGAAATAAATTCAGGAAGAAAATACCCATGACACTTATGCGCTCAAGATACTATGAAAATAGCACCAGATACAAAATGAGGAAATGACAGCCCAAAGTAAACATGTGGACCTCAAGATGTGAAGGAATTTTATGTATAAAGAGAAACAAAGTATCTGTTTCCTCCGGACTGGTAACATTCACCCGCTTCCACATGAGAACCATATTTCAAATTTAAAATTCAAACTGGTTATACTACTGAATTATGTTCTCTGGTCACCTTTACAGACTGCTCACTGACGGGAATTTTCTTAGATTACCAAAGTTGCTTAAAAATGATAAGAAAATAACACATTAACATAAACATTCTAGAGCCAACTCAGTTCTCTTTATTAAAGATGAAGCTCTTAATCATTATATAACTATGCACGATATTTCACAATGCAGAGAGCTCCATAATCCTGCTACACTTTACCCTGTTCCTTCTCCGATCCAAAACAAATATATAACAACATTCACTTCATCATAAATGGGCTAAACAAAAATAAAACAAAACGATCCACAAGGATCCAATAAAAAGGCTTGCTTCCTATAACCCAGAAGACGGATATCTTCATACTCACCGCTGTGAGAACCTCAAGTCTTACATTTTATGGTATCTTCACTCGTTCTCCATGTTTTATTGTAAAAAGCATATTATATACACAAGAAGTCACCAAGTTACAAATTTAACCCATAATTAAATTAAATTACATTTAATACAGTTAATTTAAAATTAATAATAGCAGAAAGTAATACTGTCCTAATAACAGTAACAAAACAATATAACAATTTTCTATGGTTTATTTGAATGCTATCAGTCCCATCTTTTATTGAAAGTGATCTTTCTTCAGCAAAAAGTTTTATTCGGGGAAATGTGAAGAGGCAGAACACTACTTTCTGGACCACTACACACAGAACATACCAGTAGAGAGCAGAAACTATACTCCGCTGTTGCAAGAAGTTGCCGATTGTGATAAGTGGTCTGAATGTACGAACTGGTCTTCACATAACCAAATTATTTAAATATTAAGGTATTCAGTGGCTTCATTCTTATGTACAGATATCAGTTACTCGTCTGTTCATAACTGGGGGACTTCCTGTATGATACATATCTGACCCATTTTACTGAGGAATGCTATCAGTTGAATTCTTTTTAAACAAGTATGCCAGCTTATTAATGCTGACAGCTCATTCAGTTCTGAATGTTATATGACAAAGTTATAAAAATAAGATATATTTTCATACCAAATGTTTCCTCTTCAAAAGAATTATAAGCACAAAAATCTAGTATCACTTACGCAAAAATTAATTCCTTTGAAGATTAGAATCAACATAACTTGGCTATGGCTCACTGTATGTATTAATTTGGACTAACGATCCAAAAGAGGCTCAATACAAACCAACAGGGAGAAGAGACTGTAGTAGAACATGAAAACGATGGGAATTCTGAACCTGGAAAAGGTCATTGGCATAATCCATTAGGTAATGAGAAAAATTATTTTGACTAACGAACTGGGAACTGATGAATAATGGTTGTCTAGATATAAGAAACAAGCCTGAAGATTACCAGCATACTCAACATGCTGTAGTAATTAATACAAAAAAAGAACACAATACATATTTACACAACGTACAACTAAAAGTTAACACGGCATGATGCGCAACCCAACCAATTATATATACGAATCCACAACCTAATCCTGACTTTGCAAAATCTTTTATTAAGAGAATCACAGAATGCAGCTGCTCCTTCAATACTGGTGGAAGTACTCCACCACTCTATTGAGTTCTGAAGTCGATTACAAAATTCAATATACAGAGGCTTGATTACAAAATGTTTAATTATAAAGTCAAATTTAATTAGAATGTTGGGTGGCTATTAAAAGATGACACTACACTCACATGAGATAAAAGTAAGAGAACCAATATTTTTCTAAACCTTTTAAAATAACTCTAGCATGTGAGCTGAGATAACAGCTGGACTTAAATGAATGGAAGAAAGGCAGACAGTGAACCGACATATGCATATAATATTACAATATTAAAATGGACATTAGAGAAACAGGGTGGAAAGTTGTGGATCAGAATCGTCTGGCTCAGGATATGGACTGGTATTGTTAATGAAACTTCAGGGAATTTTTTGACTAGCTGAGCAAAGTATCAGCTGCTGAAGGAGACCTCTGCATCATGCAGTTTATTTTTAGTTAGTTAGCTGGAACACAGTTATCAAGAAAATGTGGAGGCAAATGGTTGATCACCCCCATTTAAGAAAATTACAAAACCAAGTAATCTTAAAACAACCGTAATAAAGCCTCTTCATTTCAGAAAAAAAAGTCAGACACTAAACAAAGTACGTAATGTCATCAGACATCATTAGCAGAACCAATTACTTTGGTTACTTTGGAAGAACAGGCCTCATTTGTGATCTGACACTTACCTTCGCACAGCACGACGCAGAGCACAATAACAGTTAAAAAGGCACGGATTCACTGTCAAGGAGGTGATGGGCCAGTCCGTTCTGATTTGACTAGATGTGGGATTGACGGCTCAGATTCAGCCCTCTTCTTTCCAAAGTCTTCATTTGCAAATGAAGAAGAGATCTCCTGCGTAAAAGTTTCTTTGGTTTCACTGTCAACGTTGGCATGAATGTTGGGCACACTTCTTGTCATACACTCATTGACGTCAGACACTTCCTTCTCCTCTTCAGTCTCTTCCTCTGCTTTTAAAAGCTCTTCATTGAGACATACATTGTTGATACTCACTGCACTGTTGGAGAAGATGGCAGCAGGACCAAGGGCACAGTCCGGAGGTTTTTCATTCTCATCGGACAAAGGCACCAGATCGACTGTGACGGAGCGCTGCAAGGGAGACCCAAACTTGGATGAACCAAATACGCGCGTCGGGCTCGTGGTCTGGTCCCGCATATCCTTGCTCGGGTCACGAACAACGCAGGATGCAGGATGGTGCGGTCGGCCATTGATGGGGCTTGTAGCTCGGCTCCAAGCCGGACTTACTGCAGCTGCTGCCTTCTCTTGCTGATGCTGAGATATGAGGTTGCATGCTATGCCAAGTATCACCACACTGTTGAGGACACGGAATGAAGCAAGGCACAGGTACAACATAATGAGCAGAACTACAGCTGCTGGTCCATCCAAATGCAGAGCATGACATAATACACGTACCATCACTACACCCAAAGGAAGTGGTATGAATCCCATGCGACGTGCTACCAGATCAGAGTGATCTGAGAATGCCTGAAACAAGATTTAAAGTGCTCATTCAATCCATACTAAAAGAACGTAGAAGAAACTAGATACAACAAGGGATCGTTCAACTGCCACACTTTGTAATTTCCTCCAATTCAACATTACATTTAATAAAATAAACTAAGATTAAACAGGACTTTCCAGTAAGAGGTTTCCACCAGTCGAAGAATCAAATTCCTGCGGATTTCAGTGGCAACGTTACTGAGAGAGAAACAGACAGACAACCAACGAAGAACAAGATACTCACATGTTTCTGTCGTGTCTGAGCCATGTCATACGCCAGACTGATGGTATAATCCCGATACACATCCACTGGTAACTCATTAAAGCGTGTAATAAAGGCATGCTTGATCCAATCCACTAGCACCTCAGCAAACAGTACCATTAAGCAATCTGGCATCAGAATCCAGAACCTCTCTACAACAAACACATAATGATAAACAAATCACATGAACACATACAAATATACTATATATCTACTTTTAACACAGACCAGTCTCAGATGGCCATCATCATAACAAAAAAATTTAAGGAAGAATAATTTTATTACAAACTCTATGGAGCAGAGACCTTGAAAAGTTTGGGTTTGACCCTTCTTAATTTAGTGCACGTAATACCACACGCAACTAAACTGTAAAGGGTAGAATTGAACATGAACAAATAAATTTCCCATTCTCACAGTTTCAAACATATGCCCACCTTCCTTCCACGAGTACTCCTTCATAGTCTGCAACACCACAACGAACAGCAACACAAATAGGTGGAAACGTTCCCGCACATCACTGCATGACACTTGGAACAAGTTGTTCTTGTCAAACTTCTTAAAAACACTTCCCTTCAGCTCCACAAACTGGAACAGTTTGCTATATTGTAATTATGCACCCTGTTATGCTCTGTACATAACCTAAGTTATGTTATACACAACATAATTTTTAGCACTAACTTATGTATAAAAATATGTTTCAAGCATTCAGTTTAAAGCAATGCATGGGTCAATTTTTGTGCTCTCAGGAAACTATGAGAGATTTGATATTCTCATGACACAAATGTCACTGTTAGTCATCTGGGTTACAACACCGTGTGGACTTCTCCATTTTCAAGGTCATAATGGAGACAATATGTTTCTGCAATACATTGGTACTACCTACAAGTCCACGTATCATTATAACTCAGAATACCAACATCTCAGGGAACTAATACGTACTACAGACCACAGATCAGTTATCTCTGAACTCACATTGTTGGACATCATGATAGTCAACAGTGCCTTATTATTTGAATTGATGGCAACATTCAGAGTCGTTGCTTGGAACAGTACCAATACACTATGCAAAACTGAAGTCAATGTTAAGGCTCAATATTCCATTATATAGCAAATATAAAACTACAAATTTGTTATACAACATTCTTAAATCCATAAAAGTAGAATCATTATTAACTTTAAATATCATAAGCAGATACCAACTTACTAATTTTCATGAATGCATCTTTCATTACATATATCAGTTATTAATCAACTGTAAAGCACTTGTAATATGAAATAATGGTACTTGTGGGTTATCGGGACACATCGCTTTAAAAAATAGGTTAGGTTAGGTTAGCTTAGGTTAATGTGTGTGGATAAATGACATAAGTTACAGTTGTGAACAAACGGTCAGGTACTTCAACAATGAAACATTCGTTTGTCTCCGCCCATTTTGTGCAATATACAGCCACTTTCATCTTGCATGTTCTTTTTGAGAAGGTAACAGTCAATGTAGTGTTCAAAAGTGGCTGTTAATGAACAGTAATATATCAATAAGACACAGTAATTGTAGAACATGATCTACGTGCTCACGAAAAATGTAAATCTGCCTTGCCATTGAATCTTGTACATGACCTAAACTTCTGTGCCCAACTATCCTCTACATTTCATCCATCTTCAAAATTCACCCTCACCCATATTTTAAACACAAATTTCAAACCCTTGTGATGTTATGTACAAAATATGCAGTTACTGCAATGTATTTACAAAGCTATAAATGTACGTTTCCAAGTATTCTGAATACATTTAATGATATTAAAGTGAACAGAATTACTAACACTTTGGTGAAGAACCATCGAGGAACATTTTCAAATACTTGAATGATATGGGAAGACTCTATATCAAACTCCAGACAAGATTACTAATCTCTGAACTCAATTCGAAGGTCACCAAAATATAACTCAATTGCAACATGTTACATCGGTGAGCAACTATTCTGATCTAAAATGTAACAGCCTCACAAGCCACTTATCAAATAATCAGTTTGCATATAGATAGCAATGTGTTTCACTCTTCAAATGTGAAAGGATACAGACATATGCCACAGCAAAGAACAGATGTGGTATTACTCCAAGATGTTGTCTCCTGCGATCTCGTGGTTCTGTAGCAGTCCAAAATAAAGCATCTATAGTGTCCTGTCCAAATGCAGAGAACAATCGATCACCAACCTAGAATAGGAAACATTAACACAAACTTCAAAACCATGAATAACAAAAATTAGTAGTCTGAATATGAACTGTAATATTTATGGGTAGTTTATTTGTTGTAGATCATTCTCTTCATTACTCCTACTGTCACATTTTTATTCATTATGACACTGTAGTATTAGACTTGTTATATACTGTAGCTGTTCCTAACACACACTTTAACCTTCCACATGATTACTAAAATAAATTTGCACTACCTAGTCAGAAATTATTCTTTTTATTTCATTATTATTAGCCAAAAGAAAAAATGTTTATAATAACATTTGTAGGTTATGAGATCTATATTTTATGTTACATAGGAAGTTTCTGTGAAAATTTATAATGTATGATTTCAGCTTCATGCAAATCAGTGTATTTATTAGATCAATAAAAACAAATTTGAATTCACATTTTAGGTTTTCACAGAGATTAAAATTTTGGATAAAGTTTTATGGCTTAAGGAGTAGTGTAGTCCTGTAGATGAAACAAAACTGCATGGCATTATAGCCCAGAACACAGTCCAAATCAAAAATAAAATTCATCAGATATTTTTAGCATAGATCCCAAATACCAGAATGTCATTGAAAAAGGAACACTTGCTTATTAGGCCTATAGATGATAAGGGAATGAACAAAACTACAAAATTATTTAGGCATGGGTGTAACCAGAAGACATCCAACTAGGAAATTCATTATGAATACATCCTAACCTCAAGCATGTTATAAAAGATGTAGAGCTTAATAACAGACTGGCTCTTGATCAAGTGGTACATCATTGATGTATCAATGTAAGACATTATCATGCTGCACGCAATCAGGATGCAAGCCTTCAACAAGTCACAGATCTCTGCTGGTTTCAAGACACTCTTTGATTTAGATTTCTGCATCCTATAAAAGAAATATTCAATAAACATATACAATTTTGCAAGTAATATTCAGTTGTTAACTATTCACAAACAACTAACCACTATCTTACCCAAAACATTCTCGAATGGGTCGACTAACCACTGCCCAAAGTGCCAAAACAAATCTCATTGGTAGGAAGGTGTAAACAAACAGAAAAGAGTCTGCACACTGTAAAGGAAACATTAAAACCTGACAGATTTCTTTATTGTAAGAAACTAATTGCATATAAAAAATCATGCACTATAAAATCTACAAAACAAAAATAATTCTTTCGCCCTACCTGAAAGAACCCATATGCCATGAATTTTTCAACTTCACGAGGAATTTTCATGAAGGAATACACTTTCTCTCTTCGAGCTGAATACCTCTCTTCATCATGCTCAAGCATGTACCCACGGGTTAGTTCAACACCAAGAAATTTTAACAGTGATGGCTGCCCCACAGTATCCGAATCTTCCGCATCTTTGAATTGAAACATTTCACAAATATAAAAGAAAATGAGTACCAACACCTCCAAGTTTGCATTCGACATAAAAATTACATTCCAGAATACTGAAAACCAAACAATATACTTTGAAATTACATCCTAAATTAATTATGCATTAGGTGCTTGCAGTTCACACAACCCCAATTTCGGCGTTATTAAACTAAATAAAAGTGGACCTTAACCTCACACATTTCAATTGTATAACCCACACGCATACAAACCAACCCTTTGTCTTCAACTCTTCTGTCTCTCGTACCCCTCTGTTGACATCCAATTTACTTCTAAGATCTGTACTCCGTATATGATCTTCCACTTTGTTTTCATTACTGTAATGAATTTTTGCTGTTGATCTGAAACGTATTTTCTTTTCTGGTAATACCGCAACAAATTCTTTAGCAGACATTGCGATTGAAATAATGACATCACGCCGCAAAAAGCAGTACAAACAGTAGGTTAAATGTACAACTAGAGAGCAGCAGTATTAGTGCAAAGTATGCCATAGTGTCTTCAGTATCGACGATGATGTGACACATAAAAATAAAATAAATTTTTAACAATGTCTGGTTTGTACGAGAATAACTAGATCACTTGTTCAAGCTATACCACAGAATACCTTTAAAAATTAAACCATCCCAACTTTAAGAACACATCTGTTGACTCCCCTGCATAACTAACGAAAAGGATCCAGTAGGCATAAGGTCAATTGCGGGGTGGGAGAAAGTCATTCCCAACTCAGATCAGCTGTGCACATCCTTAAGTCGAGTTACGTCGGTATGGAGTTTATGGATAAATTTCCATTGAACGTGGTAAGTCGATAGATATTATAAACGTTTACAACATATTTCAGTATTGTTGTATGAGGAAGTAATTCAGAACTCGATTGAATATCGAGACAAACATACCAAATAAACGATCTAATAGTGCTCAGTGACGAATACAATTTATGGGTTTTCAATAAAATATTCTTCACAGTAGTTTAAATACACTTCTTTGACACTAAATATGCAAATAAAGTTTTCATGATGCTGTAAATAACGTGTTCATTGTTGCCCTATGTTCTGTCAACAAAATAACAAATGCAATGATGCAGCCCGTACAACGCACATTCAATCGAAAGAATACAGAGGATTACATGGCTATGTTATGAAAAACTGCCCATCCATAATACTGGAGGTTACCGTAAATCAGCTTGCACTTCCATTTGGTACTAAACAGTGTTTCACTTAAAGGCTCATCAGCTGGAGAGGCGTGCAGAAGCTCATCTGCAGCAAAAACATTTTGATGAGTCAATTCAATGTTACCAGAAAGCTGTTGAAAAGCTGAAAGAAGCTGAACACAGTTCAGATAATGGGCTGTTCCTTCAGTCTGTGAAATACCAACAAGAACGCTGTATCCAGCTGCAGAAAGTTATAAGGTAAAGGTGTTGGTTCTTAAAGAAGGAATTATCAAATTTAGTTGTTGTCTGTTAAGCATTGGATTATGTGTTGAGACGTATAGTTATGAATTAAGAATTGCAACTCTAGTCTATGCCATTTAAGGCCCAAGCATTTTATTCAGTATGTTAATTGTCCATGTTTTTCTGTTGTATAATGGAACACTTAAAACTAAGCTGATCTGTTTTTCTGTCAAGAAGATATGTCTGAGATTAGTTTTGAGTCAGAATGATCTAGACTATCTTTTAAAAGACATATTCTTGTGTATCTTTAGTGTAACAGAGAATGTAAAAATGCTGTAAATTGCTATCCTTATTAAAAAATATATCAATATATTCTGCTCATACTATTCCCAGGTTCATGCATATAAATGGCATTTCACAAGGATTGGTTTGCTTGTAATTTACAATTTGCAGCATGAAGAAAGATCAGTATGTAGCAGACAAGACCAGGCAACAGAAAATGCTCCAGGTTTTGACAAAGCTGGAACAAACAAGTAGTGAGCGAAGCCAAGAAACTAATAACCTGCAGCTGAAAATATACAGGTTAGTAGTGCACACTCATGAACAGTTCAGGTTGTAAATCATTAAATTTAAGGATTCCCTTTTCAACATTGAATCACATGGTACATTTCCTTACCACCATATAATATGTAACTTCATGTTAATTTTTATTGGCATCATACTGTCGGTTCAAAGTACTGCAATGCAGTTTGATCATAATCTTTCATTCTGCATGTATATGTATTCTTTGCATATAAAATAAATGCATATTATAGACATTTACCTCTATGTTTGCTTGTTATTCATATCTGTCCAGTGTAATATTTATTTCATGAAGCTAAAATTGAACTTCATTGATTAAAAATGGTTCACAAGAAATTGGTGAGTGTAAAATGCAGATCTCACTAAGATAAGTCCTTTTCACTCGCGGAAGTTCTGTGTTACAGAACAATGGAGGAGGCAGATTCATTATTAGAGCGACTCGTATGTCGTGGAGAGAGTGATGGATATGATCTGGAAAGTGTCAAGAGTGATAATGTTGGTGGAGCATGTGCTGAAGATACAGTAAAAGTTGACACATTTCAACCTGGCAAGTTAGATGGGAGAAAATGGCCCAAAGATGATCGCACAGTGATAGAGGAGCTGCGCACTCTGAACAACCAGCTGCGTTCACTAGTGATCCAGTTACAAACACAACTAGATGCTTCCTGTAAAGAAGTTGAAATTTTACGTGAACGTGTACGATTCTTAGAGGGAGAACGCCATATGAAATCAGATGACATTGAGGGCAGGAGTTGTATTCCAGCGGTGAGGAAGAGTAGTCTTCATGTTATTACAGATTCCACAGGTGGTTCTTCGCCCTTTGTGTATTCTCCCTGTAGTGAACTTAGTCCTGATGTGCCAGTTGATATACCACATATAGTTACAAGGGAGTTACCTGTACTTTCACCGCTAGAAATGCCACACTTTGACTTTGCACAATTCAAAAGTGGAATTATGAAGAACTTTCACCCATATCCTAGCTCTGGCACATAACAAAAATATTTGGTTACACTTTGTACAGTACAGTGTGGCTGTATTTGGCTCAATGTCCCTTTCTTACCAAGGATGTGCCAATCATTGATTACTTTGGAAATTCTGAAGTGACATGGCTTCTGTTTTGCTAGACTGAAAATTCTAGTAAGAGCTTACAAGTTACAGACTTACATTTTTTTAAGCAATATTGTTTTAAATGTTTACTGCCATTTTTAAAAACTGTATAACAGCAAAAAATGTGAATTCAGAAATGTGTGTTAAACTTTTAGTCTTGGGCTCACAGCTGGTATCATATACCATAGTCAGAGAACATTGGAATTATATTTAGGGTTACATTATTTTGATGAGTTCATGTCTGTTAATGTGTGTAAAATACAGAGATGTTCAGAATCATTGCAAGTCTTCATTCATTATAGAGGAAGGACCTTTAATGAAGTAAATTTAAAGTAATGTGCTAACAGCCAGAAAGTAAGGCAGGCATGTCTAGTAGGCTTATTTTCTAGGAGCAGAGTGCATTTATTTTTCCTCACCAAAGGTCATCCCTGTAAAGCATAAGTGTGTTCCTTGTACTTATATTTTAATCAGCCAGTTTCTTATTTACGCACAAAAGAATAACATCATCAGAATATTTTATCCTCTTTCCTGTCTTTAAGTGCTGAAATACCAACATGTGGCACACAGTTGAGAGAAATTCCTGATAATGAATCATGCACCACACTTTGGCCCAGCTGGATCATCAGTTGCTCACAATGGATACCAGTAGCATAGTCAGTTCTTTTATAATACTAGAGCAGGGCGCTCCTTTCGGAGCTCCTGGGGGGGGGGGGGGGGGTAAA